CCACTTCTCCCTCTGTCTAGTTCTGCTGCCTTCCCTTCGTACCCACAGACGTGGCTGCCCAGAGCACCCCTAACAAGCCTCCAGCACCCTACCTCCATGTCCGATCTGCCTGCCAGGAAATCCAAGTGCAACACCCTGGAAGTCCCTTCTTCGATTAGAGACGGCCTGGAGAGGCAGAACCTGTGGAACAGGCTCTCCGATTCTCATACGCAAATGGACACAACATAGCCTGGCTTACCTGCCATCGAGTGGCCGTGAGGACGGGATCAGATAATGAAGGTGAAGGCAGTTTGTCACCGAGCGCTATATAGATATCTGTTATGAATTATACCAACACTTCAACTCTGCTGTATGCCGCCACAGAAAGGTTTTGTAGTTACAAGATCTTGGTTCCAGTCTTGCTTGGGTCTCAGATACAGCTTTGATCAGGTTACCTCAAAGAATACATGCAGTTATCAGCCTTGCCAGGGCCCTTGGCAAGATGTGGCCAACTGCTTTTCCAATTCTAGCTCATGCATATTCCACATTGTGCACAAACAGTGCACTTGCTTTTCTTCAAGCCTGCCCTGCACCATTACTTTGTCTTTAATGCTATTGGTGAAGCGTTGCCTGTTGAAATTCTACCTATGGTTTAAGGCTGTCTATGTGTTAGGAAGACGTCTCCTTCTAGCTTTAACTAACAAACTCCCCTTCCCTTCAGAGCACACTTTCTAGAATGAGCAGTCCACACTGAGGGCTTTCCCCTACCCCGTCTCCCAGGGGTTCCCACTGTTCTCATCTAGGTCACCTCTCACTTGCCAAATCAACAGCCAAACACCTCACTTGGCCTACCTCACTGCGGTGGCTGAGACTGTTGACAATTCTTTGCTCTATGAAACACGCAGCCCTTCGGAAACAGCACACTTACTTTCTTGGTTCTCTCCCTACTTCTCAGTCTCCTGCATTGGTTCCTCGTTTTCCGCTCTTAGAACCTCAGCTCTCCAGTCCTCCGTTCGCTCTCTCTGGGACAGGTCCCTCATGCACAGGGCTTCAAAGCCAACCCGAACGTTGACAGTTCCCAAGTTTGTATCTGGCCAGGACCTTTCATGAATTCCAAAATCAGGCAACCGGTGCCTCCTGCACACATTTATCTACCTGTATCACACAGGTACAGACAGATACTTCGAATTGAACTTACCTTCTTTCTCAATCACTCCTAAAAGTGATGAATGACCTTCAGAGAAAGCCTGTGCCTACTAAGTCTGGGCACTGGCCCCAAATGTACCTGCTCGTTGCTACTTCTTACCAGTTGCCTCCCTGTCTGCTTGCCTAAGTCTTAGCATTCATCCCTTCAAGCCTTTGTTCAGGTTTACCTCCTTCCCAAAGCACCCCAATAGCTCAATCCTTGTTGCTCACCCCTGCATGCCAAACCATCCGTTTTCTTCCTTTGTCCTCCCCAAATGCTCTGTAAACAACTGAAGAGGAGAGTCTTGTTTATTATCTCACAACTGGCCTCAGTAAATGCGGGTAATGAAAGTGAAAACTGTACATTTAAAAAAAATTTCTCAATAAGTAGCAAGAAGACGCATGCATAATACAGTACTTCTAGTTCTTGACCAATGTGGAGAGAGTCAAGAATGAGAAATCCTCTAAATGTCAGCTGACCCACAAAACACTGTACCAGGCATCTCCCAGAGGCTTTCAAGCAACAATTCAGCACCACCAGCTTCTGGCCACGCTGAGTATCTTGAACATTTCTTATATGCCTGCACTTCACGTTGTTTCCTCTGCCTCCAATGTCCGTCTTGCTCACTCCTGTTTTTTTGTAGGCTGAATGCCCTCAGCCATGGAGGCTTGGTTAGCCCAGATGTTACCTCCTCTGTGAAGCTTCCCAAATCTCCCGGGATCCCCTGTGAATATATTTCCTCCTCCTTTATTTTGCCAAACATTTTTTTTCCACTTCTGTGACGGCAGTTAGCAAGCCATAGTACAGTTGGTTAGTTTTGCATCTGAGTCCCTGAAAGTCTCTCAGAGCCTACAATTGTATCTTTGGGTTGTCAGTCCCACTGAGTACAGTGTGAACAGTGTGTGTTGCTGGGTACTTTACAAACACCTACAGAGGGAGGTGCTACTTATTAGCTCCAATTTATGGAAGAGAAATAACAGGCTTAGAGAGGTTAGGAAACTTAAACCACTGTATCTCAGCACCTGGACTATAAATATTTATTGAGTGACTGAATAAATACATTATTTTGAGGTTACGGAGCTAATACATGGCAGAGCAGGAAATCCAACCCAGATCTCTGTTACTATAAATCCCATGTTCTCGCCATCCCTAGAAATCCTCCTTCCTTTACTACCCAGCAATGTGAAAAGGAGACAAAAGCCCCATCTTGTCTCTGGGCAGAAGTGCTGTTCTCATTCCTTGCCTTCTCTTTGAGAGGTGAAATAATCCCTGCTCGTACATTCCGTTCCAAACGTTTTAACCACTTTTTCGACCTCTTCGTGGAGTCATTTGAGTTCTTCTCCATATCCATTAAAATGGGAAAGTTCACCTGGACACAGCACTGATACTAACTAGAGTAGAACGCCCTTGTGGAAGGCACTGGATAAAAAAAAATCACTGACCCAGAAGAAAGAAGTGGACGCTAACTCAGGCTTTATATAAATGCATACACGTTCCTTCAAGGCTATTCCAATCCAAATTATAAAGGAAAGCAAAACGGTTTGCTCTGAAACTCCCAAAGCCCAAACTCCCAATATACATTTTACAGTCTGGGCATTTCCATCCTCATATAGCTTGGTTCATTTTTAGAAAGTCCTCTTGAAAACAACAATGTTTTGTTATCCTTCTTTTCCTAACAAAAAACTTTTGAATGCTAGGGGGAAAAATCTACAAAAATATCCAATTGTACACCTATCCAAAATTCATGGTTGTCAAGTATTCTTCAAAGGTCTACATAACAGGTGCTTTGCAAACAGACAGTTTCATTGTTGATGGCAAGCCTAAAAATAAGACAAGGAGCCTAGAGAAGTTCAGTGCCCAAGTAAGTTGCTATGCTCAGATTGGTATTCAAAGTTTCTGTTATATATTTGGCTTCTGCCTAAAAATGCTTAGATGTTCACGAGCAATTATACCTTTTCAGTAGGGCATTAGCTGATGAGTGCGGCTGTGCTGATGTGGGTATGGTGATAGTTTAGACATTACTATGGCCACTTCGTTATGTTTCTTGAAGATACAACCATGGTTTTAAAAGTCACAAGGGGAGCGAAAGGGAGAGAAAGGCTCAGTACAAAACCAGAGGTAGCACTGTAAAATATTCAGAGTATGCTAGTGGGCTAAGTCATTTTATCTCCCTATATATGGGAGGCACAGGTCTTAATTTTGGGTGAATGAAACAGCCACGAGGAGATAGTTCATTGGTATGAAGAACATTTCACAGCACTTTAAATATCCAGCATTTACAGTGTAGAGTCTATATTCCAGGAACCAAGGGGTAACATTCCTGCACAGCATTAGCTAATTCCACTCTTGACAATTGGAAGTATTATAAACTTTTGGTTGCAGTGTCCAGCACATCTTCGATTCATATAAATTGGTTCCGACATTACATCTAACTTAGCCTCTTTCTACTGCACAATGAGTGAGAAACTTGACAATAATGGTTTGGATGCAACCATTTAAAAAACATAGATTTCTATAATGATCATCAACATTATTACGTTTATAAGACAAATACAAGTGACATGTCGGAAGACTTCATTGAATTAGACACCACCATCCTAAATATATTAAAGCTTAAGGTATTTAAGTGCACTTACCTTTTGTGCATTTTCCCCATCTTCAATTGCAAAGTCTAGTCTGGGCTGCCTGGGGTTGATCAGGTCTTTTAATGTTAAACAATTTACCTCCATCTGTAATGCACAATTACAGTAGAAAGTGATTTTACAATTGGATGTTTTCTCCTCCAACAAAAATATTTATTACTTGCTCGTGAACATGAACTTCCCCTCTCTAAACTCATTCTGGGAATTTCCAGGAGTGTAGCCACTACCCCCATCTCTAAAACGCACATGAATAACACTAACACTTAATAAAGTGTGTTTGATAATTACTAAAAACCTGGGAAGGCAAAAAAGAAAAAATGGACAAAAACTGGTAATTGTTTATGAAAAGCAACAGCACAAAACAAAGTTACCAAGTCAGGAGAGTGTAGGGCAAATCTGTCAGAAAGTACAGGGTCTCCTAGGTCAGTTAATTTTGGCGCAAAGAACTGAGAGGAATTCGGCTTTGAGGGGGTTTTGAATCCGGGGGAGGGAAACCCGATCGCCAGACCAAACCCACTCAGCTCTTAGCGCAGCCCCTTCCCAGGCCGCCCAGCCGACCCCAAGGATAAACTTCCAACGAACCCCCCAGATCACGAGGAAGAACCAGTCCTCTCTACTGCCCCGCGGGAGGGTGAGGTGTAGCCAGGACACCTCACATGCGCCTGGTCCGGCGGCAGAAATGCCTCGATCCCCGCCAGCGAGGGAGAGGAGGGGAGGCCGGCTGGCAGCCCGGGCGGGGAGGGGGCTCCCCTTTCCCCCCAATTCCCGCCTCCACGCAGAGCTTAGGGCCGCACGCTACTTACTCCTACTTCGAGAAGGAGGCTTCCTGACTCTGTGGGGACCTTCACGACCCCACACCGGCGAGGACCCAGCGGGGCGAGATCAGCAGACGCACGGCGACATCGGGCGGGGAAAGTGAGGCGCGCAGATCCCCGCTCCGAGCGCCCAGAGCTGGCGGGGACCCCGCGGTGTCAGGGCAGCGCCAGCGCTCCAGCCCCGGATCGCAGTCCCCGCTAAAACACCACCTCTGGCGCCTTGAGACCGAATTTGAGAATCGGCCAATCAGCGGCGGCCCGCGGGGTGGCCCGGGCCAATCGCTCGGCGGCACGGCCCCGGCCCGCCGCCCCTAGGAGTCTTGGCGCTCGGGGCCGCGCGTTTCGCCCTCACCCGCCCAATTGTTGCCGCCTCGGCCCCCTCCCCCTTCCGGGTACCTGGAAACCTCGGGCCCGGGAGCCAATTCCTGCCGGGGACGCGGGCCCGGGCGGCCGCGGGAAAGCTAAGGTGGGGGCGGCGCGGGGGCGGCGGGAGGAGGGGGAGGAGAGCTCTTTTGTTAATGCATAAAAGGCCCGCTCCGGTCCCCTCGGCTTGCCGCGCTGGGAGACCGCGGGCACAGCCAGGGGAGGGGAGTGCAGATGGAGTTTGGAAAAACGATATACACGCTCTGGACGCCGCCGCCGCCACCCCCTCCCCTCAGCAACCTGCGCGGAAGCGAAGTTGTCCAGGCTTGTTGGGGCAAACTTCCTAACACCGCAAGCTGGTGTGACACGTGAACCATGGTTACCACTCTGTGCTGCGAGCAGATGGCACGCCAGTTAGTCCTGGAAACTAGACTGCAAGCACAGCCAGCTGTTTCTTGTTTTCCCTTCCCTTCCCTTCCCTTCCCTTCCCTTCCCTTCCCTTCCCTTTCCTTTCCACTTGTTAGGTCTGGGAATGTTTTTTTTTGGTGTTGCTTTTTAAGAACGTCGCCAATAATTAAGAGGCAGAAGCCTTATTAAATAATTCTTTGCAACATGCACTAGCATTCCGGGAAGTAGTCGAGAAAATTTCCTCGACTTACTGATTTGTATTCAATGTTTCACTTCCTTCAACTTTAGTTTCTTATTTGAGATATGAATGTTGATAGAGACAGCTGTGTGCATATGTATATGGTGTGTTTTAATAAGACTAGTGCTTAGAACAGTTTTACGTTTGCAGGAAAATGGAGAAGATAGGACACAGAGTGCCCATATATCCCCACTCAGTTTTACCTGTTTATTAACACCTTATATTTGTATGAAGCTTTTGTTGAAATTAGTGAACCAGTAATGGTATACCCAACTGAAGTCATTACTTTATTCAGATTTCTTTAAATTTACTTAATGGTTTTATGTTCTAGGATACCACATTATATTTAATGTTCATATCTCCTGAGGTTCCTCTTGGCTGTGATGATTTTTCATATTTTCCTGGTTTTTGCCGGCCTCCATGGTTTTGAAGAATAACTGGTAAGTCATTTTGTAGGATGTCCTGCTATTGGTATTTGAGACCTCCTCTTAAAACCAGATCTACAGACACTTCCCAACAAATCGTATAGTTTACACAAAGGATATCTTCTTCTTTCTTATCCGTTCCTGTCTAGTGCTCTGCTCTCCATGTCTCACATCCGAAGCAGAATTTAGAATGCTCAATTAAGTCCTTCACTTTGTACTCTATTTAGATTGCTGATAAATACAGCCTAGAAATCACTTAGATGGTATCAAAGAGACAAGCATGGAAACGTTAAAGGTATAGGAAAATAACAATAGTAATAAAAATTTGACATTTTTACGTTAGAAATAATATTTTGAACTGAAATAGGTAGAAGCATGAGGAGACAAGTATAAAGAATAAAATTGCCATTTATTAAATTTTGCACTTATATAGAAGCAGAAAATTTTGATTAGGAAATACTTTTTTTCCAACTGTATTAATTTCCTGTGGCTGCTGTGACAAATTACTACAAACTGGTTGATTTAGAAGAATAGAGATTTATTTTCTCAGAGCTCTGGAGGCCCGAAGTCCGAGATCAAGGTGTTGGCTGATCCGCATTCCCTCTAGGGCTCTGGAGGAGAATCTGTTCTTTGCCTCTTTCAGCTTCTGGTGGCTGTAAGCTCTCTTTGATATATGGCTGCCTCACTCACGTCTCTGCCCACATGGTCATATTGCCTGCTTGCCTTTGATCTGTTAAATCTGTCCTGTGTATCTCTCATAAGGACACTTGTTACTGAATATAGGACTCACCTAATATTCAGGATGGTTTCCTCTTAAGATCCTTAACTTAATTACATCTGCAATTTTTTTCTTTTTCCAAATAAGGTAACATCCATGGGTTCCACGGATTAGGATGTGGATATTTCTTTTTGGGACCACCATTCCGCTTTCTAGACCCACATTCAAATGATTGAAACCCATTCATTTCTCTGATATTTTAAAATAACAATGGTTGTTTCTTTGAGATTAAGGAGTTTCATGTTACAGACTTTTCCCTAGCATTTTCCAAGTGTTTTTTTTTTCTATCTACATTTCAAATGAAGCCACTATTCAGAACGAGAATAACTCAACATGTAGCTTCAGACTCTTGTAATTTCATCTCTTGCTTGAAGTAAGAGTGATCTTAAATTTGGAGGGAAACTGGAAAATGAGTGAGTGATGGGCAAATTGGGAGACATTCCTCTAATACACTTACTTTGCTGCTTTCAAGTCCTAGAGTTGGTAAATATTCTGTCAATCTCTGTTACTCAGTGGACACTGATGGTGGCTGGGAACTTGGGTGAGGCATCAAGAAGAGTCCTTGCATATGGCTTCTCAGTGTAGCTTGATCTTCCTTACAGCATGGTGGCCAAGGCAATTGGACTTCTTTCAGGGGCTCAGGACTCCACGATGAGTACCCAAGTCCACAAAGTGGAAAATGTATTCCTTTCATGATGTAACCCTAGAGCTAAGTTAGCATCAATTCTGCTGTATCTTTTAGATGAAGCCGTCAAAGATCCACCCCATACTTGATAGGAAAGGAAAGGACATACACTCTACCCTTCTTCTTCTTCTTCTTCTTCTTCTTCTTCTTCTTCTTCTTTGTTTCAAGTTTTTATTTAATTTCTAGTTAGTTATAGTTAACTTATAGTATAATATTGGTTTCAGGGGTAGAATTTAGTGATTCATCACTTACATATAACACCCAGTGCTCATCATAAGTATGCTCCTAATGCCCATCACCCATTTAGCCCATCCCCTGCCCACCTCCTCTCCAGCAACCCTCAGTTTGTTCTTTGTAGTTAATAGTCTTTTATGGTTTGCCTCCCTCTCTCTCTCTTTTTTCCTTTCCTCCCCCTATGTTCATCTGTTTTGTTTCTTTTTTTTAAATTTTTAAAATGTTTATTTATCTTTGAGAGAGAGAGAGAGACAGAGTGTGAGTGGGCAAGGGGCAGAGAGAGAGGAAGACAGAATCTGAAGCAGGCCTCGGGTTCTGAGCTGTCAGACCAGAGCCCAATGCAGGGCTTGAACCCACGAACTGTGAGAATGCTTATTTGAGCCAAAGTTGGATGCTTAACCGACTAAGACACTTAGGCACCCCATCTGTTTTGGTTCTTAAATTCCACATATGAGCGAAATCATATGATACTTGTCTTTTTCTGACTAATTTTGCTTAGCATAATTTACTCTAGTTCCATCCATGTTGTTACAAATGGCAAGATATCATTCTTTTTAATGGCTAATATTCCATTGTATATATATATTACCACATCTTCTTTATCAATTCATCAGTCAGTAGACATTTGGGCTTTTTCCACAATTTGGCTATTGTCAATAATGCTGCTGTAAACATCAGGGTGCATGCCCCTTCAAATCAGTATTTTTGTATCCTTTGGGTAAATAGTGGTGAAATTGCTGGATCATAGGGTAGTTCTATTTTTAACTTTTTGAGGAAGCTCCATACTGTTCTCCAAATATCTGCACCAGTTTGTATTCCCACCAACAGTGCATGAGGGTTCTCTTATCTCTGCATCCTCACCAACATCTGTTGTTTCCTGTGTTGTTAATTTTAGCCATTCTGACAGGTGTGAGGTGGTATCTTATTGTGGTTTGGATTTGTATTTCTCTGATAATGAGAGTGATGTTGAGCATCTTTTTATGTGTCTGTTAGCCATCTGGATGCCTTTTTTGAATAATGTGTATTCATGTCTTCTGCCCATTTCTTAACTGGATTACTTGGGGTTTTTTGGGGGGAGATAATAAGTTTGATAAGTTCTTTATAGATTTTGGATACTAATCCTTTATCAGATATGTCATTTGCAAATATCTTCTTCCATTCCATAGGCTGCTTTTTAGTTTTGTTGATTGTTTCCTTAGCTGTACAGAAGCTTTTTATCTTGATGAGGTCCCAATAGTTAATTTTCATTTTTTACTTTTGTTTCCCTTGCCTCCAGAGACATGTCAAACAAGATGATGCTCTGGCTGATGTCAAAGAGATCGCTGCCTGTGTTCTCCTCTAGGTAATGGTCTTTAAACACATTTAGGTCTTTCATCCACTTTGAATTTATTTTTGATACACTCTATGTTTCACTGGAAGAAATGTCAAACAATTTGGGGCTCTATTTTAAAACTGCCACACCAGGTTTCATGCTGATTGAATTATTTTGCAACTCTACCTCTATAAACTCTGCCTGAAAGGTCACTGACTTGGGAACAGTATTGTACTGCCCACATGGCAGCAGTCACCTGGGCTCTGTACTGTGCCAGTCCTGTGGTTCTCAACCCTGTCTATGCTTCAGAATCCCTTGCAGGGAGATTTTTTAAAATGCCAGTACCTGAATTGCACACCCAGAGTTTCCTAGTTTACCTGATCTGGAATTGTGCATGGGTGTTGTTTTTGTTTTTGTTTTTTCCAATGCCTAGTTTCTTGTGCCTTAGCATCATGCTGGTCGTACGCTTATTCCTTGATTTGGGGGGATGCTTCTGACTCAATGATTTCAGAAATGGACCCTCTTGTGCCATCAATGCAGAGAGGAAGATTTGAGCCGGTGGGTCACCCTCTGGAGTAGGTGCAGAATTCAGAAGGGTGGGTCTTGCTGGTTCATGGCTATGTCCCTGAGTTTTGGAAGGAGCTGGGGTTGTAAATGAGAACTCATGGGTGAGGCAGAGGTATAACAGAAGAATGAGCAGCAAGGGCTGTGACCAAAAGAAAATACACAGATGATATGTGACATTCCTCTGTGCAAAGACTTATTCCACAGCTTATCAATCTTGCAAATAGTTTTTTATCCCTTTAGGGTTCCAAATCCCAAGATTTTTTTACACCTTACGGTGAAAATACATGGTAGTGAAATATTAATTCATGTCAGTCAGACAGGTTGAGTTGTCCAGTTAATATTTAAGCTTCCTCAGATATTTTCTTTTTGTTTTTTAATTTTTAATGTTTATTTATTTTTGAGAAAGAGAGAGGCAGAGTATGAGCCAGGGTGGGGCAGAGAGAGAAGGAGACACAGAATCTGAAGCAGACTCCATGCTCTGAATTGTCAGCACAGAGCCTGATATGGGACTCAAACTCACGCATCTTGAGATTGTGACCTAAGCCGAAGTCAGACGCTTAACCGCTTAACCGACTGAGCCACCCAGCCACCCCAATGTTTTCCTTTTCTTCCATTCCCACAAACAGTCATCTGGGTGTAGCGTCTGTTCTCAAAAGTGCAGTTGCAGAGGGAATTAGAGGCTGTTTTTTTCTTCACGCGGGCAACAGAGGGAACTTGGCTTCACATCCTGGAAATTCTCAAGTCTCTTTTGTGTGGATCAACTTAACAGTTCTTAAACCGAGGGCTGTTATTTAAAATGGCCCTTGTCCTCAGCCCTTCATGGGCCTAATACATTTGTTTCTCTAACTGCTAGCAAGTTCAGAGAAGTCAGAAGATTTATTGTTGGCTGACCATAAGCAATGTCAGGAGAATAAGTCCATGATTGGTTCCTGCTCATAGCCTTAGCAACAACAACAACAAAAGATCATATTAATACCAAAGGGCAGTTATGGCTCCCATCTCAAATTGCATACAGATGTCCAGCTATTCTAAGAGAGGTACCTAAGCTGTGATTAAATGTCGCATAGGGAACAGAGGAATTCATTCATTATCTTTATAGACTTCTTGTCATCTTTTAGCATTGTGGAGCAAGGTCATTTTACTTAGAGATCATGTAATTTGTGTTCTCACTAAATGAAAAAATAGTATGTTTGGTGTGCACGTGTGTGTGTATGTGTGTACATGGATGCATGTTGAGGGCCGGGGTACGGAGAGGGGTTTGTGCTGTAACAGACATTCCAGACCATAACAGGTAGGATGAATTTAGAGATGGGTTAGGTATTTCTAGAAATGTGATAGTGGAGAGTGTACAATGGGGCAACCTTTACGAGGCACCACATCTATGCTGCCGCTCTGAAGGGACCACAGTGGATGGAAGAGTAAAAATGGAAAGTGACCACTGCCCTGAAATTGAGATTTTGGAGAAAATAGGGGACAAGCTTCACCTCAATTTCCAGAGCCTTACAGAAGGGAAGGAATTCACGTTGAGTAGAGAAACAGATTTTAGCCCAGGCTTGGCCAGAACTTGCTGGGTAACCTGGAACAAAAAAGTTTTGCCTACCTAGGTCTCAGTTTTCTCTTGAAAGTTGTAGGGCTAGCGTGCCACCTAAAGTGGGTGGCCCAGTGGGTTGAGCACCTACCTGACTTTGGCCCTGGTCATGATCTCGCGGTTCTGGAGTTTGAGCCTCGCATCGGACTACCTGCTGTCAGCACGGAGCCTGCTTTGGATCCTCTGTCTTTGTCTCTCTCTGGTGTGCACACAAGTGCAACTTCTTTCTCTTTCAAAAATAAATACACATTTAAAAACAATTAAGTGGTAGGGCTGATTTGGAAAATCTCTGAACCTGCCAATTTGGTCATTCTAAATGCTTATTGGACACTTCGGTTATCATCTTAAAACTACTCGCTACTGAGTCCTTATCACTTAGTGTGGATATATAAGAATATTACTGAAATAATTTTTTATTTCCATATGTAGTTTCCTTTGTAACCTTTATTCTTCTAAGATTAGAATTAAATGGCTGAATGGATTTCTATACCAACCTAATAGCATCATATTAATAGCATTAATTCATTGTGATCCTTTCCACATGAAGATGTTTCCCTTGTGCAGTGGAAAGAGGAGGTTGGGGTTGGAAGTGGTGGAAAGAAGGCTTGGGGTTAGCCGCTCAGGGACAGGAAACCTATGCTTGAATACTACAGATATTATGTTTCCTAACCCAGAACCACCTCATCACATGCAAGGCCTTCTGCCTTAGGAAAACTAGAGAATTAGAATATTGAGCCCAAATGGAGATGTATTAGCCCAGGTCTTCTCTAAACAATCAGGGGGAAATGTTCGTGTACAAAGGTTAATGTATTGTCTACAAGAAGTCCCTGTTAAAATGCAAACTGTTCCTGGAAAGAGTAATCATTTAACCACCATCGCCCGTGTAGCACAATAAGATATCTTTCTTCAACCCATTCCTGGAGATGAAAACAGTGTTAATTCCTGTGTAATACTTCATGTAACACACTGGACTTTCTAGCTTGCTCAGAGACTCACCCCTGCCTCGCCAGTGAATTTTGAGAGTCCCCAGTCATACCTACTCTCAAAACAGGTTCTTTCAGTCTTCTCTGATACCCGAGACCTCCCCTGCCCATACGTTGGTTTCTTTCTGCCGTTACTAGTGATGCGTGACATCAGGTATCTCCAGGTAGCATGGCCACCTCTGGCCAGCAAAGCCGTTGGCACTCAGGTCAAGGATACTCTGTGATGACACTGGGCCCCCATCAAGGATGCCAGCTGCCACTGCTGCCACCTTATGAAACCAGAACTGGATTTTCACTGCTTTTAGGACCGGTGTTGCTGCTGCTACTGCTTCTGTGAGGTGCTGTTACCATGGAGTATGTACGGGATGTGGGCCGGTGCCCTTTCGCACTCTCCTCTCACCCAGCAAAGTCATACTTCCTCTTACCCAGGCCATTGCTTCTCTGTGCTGAAATATGGAGTCAGAGAACAATCTGTGTTGGTAGTTACTTTTTATTTCTTATCCCTTTTCTAAGCATGGGGCCTATGCTGGTGGCCAAATCTGGGTTGTAGACACTCATAATTCCTTCCCTCCCGCAATAGCAGAGGCATTGTGATTGGGCCAAAGTTTGGTCTCTCTCGATGAGTATTTCCCAAAATGCTCCTCTCCTTTACTTAAAACCAACATGGCCACTTCTTGGGCATATTCAGTAATGGCCTCACGACTCTTGGAGGACTATCAGTGTGTCTGTAGAGAATAGGACCACGAAGGTATAGGCCCTAAGAAGAAAGGGCCCAGGGTAGGTGTATTAGAATGGTACAGATGTGAGCCGAATCAGGTAAGATTGGGGCAGGAGTTGATCCTTCCTCCAGGAGGAAGGCTTGAATGGGAGGTGACCCCACGTTCCTAACAGGTTTGGAGAAGAGAGTCTCCTGATAAAAGGAGAAAGATTCACAAAATAGTGCAGAAAACAATAGTCTGTATGACCGAACTAATAAAATTGCTTGGGATTCCTGGATTATTATTCTTGTTAAAGATTTAAAAGATAGGAATATGAATAAAATCTTCCCTGGTTATCTAGAGCATGCCTATCAAATAAACTGGTGCTTCTGAGATGGTAGAACAAAGACTTCTGTCTTCTATTCAGCTGCACACACATGATACCATATCACACAGGGCCCCACGAATTAGGACATACTCTTTTGATCTACATTCTAATGACAGACTTTAATTAACTTTTCTTTCTCTCTTCTCCAGATGTTCTCTGTTTTAAAAGTGCCATCAAGCGTGATCGTGTTTTGGCCAAAGGAATGCCAAAAAATTATGTTTCTTCTGTGTGATGTTATTTTTAACCCTTATAGGTCCTTATCCACAAGAGAGCATAGTTTCTTTTATTTTATCTTGCACTTTATGTAATTTACGTAAGCAAAGTAACAATGTTTTCCTATCCTTATGTGTTTTGGTTTTTGCATTTTGCATTATTTTATTGCATTTATTTTTCCCTGTAGACCTACACTGGTTTAGTAAAATAGTCTAATACCTTGTGTGTGCCTGCACATGTGTGTGTGCGTGTGTAATTCCTCGTGTGTGCGTGTGTAATTCCTCATCATTTCAGTTATTTGATATTTTTTTGGCTGATGAAGTTAAATTTTGCCTATCCTTTTGACTCAAGGAGGATTTATGCCCATCTTCACACCTGGTTTTACTGCATTTCTTATTGTTTAATTATGTTCCCACGTGGCCATTTCTGTTTTCTTAAGCTTGCTGAAATTTACTCTGGAAATGTGTTTTTCCATTTTAATGATTTCTTTACTTGTCTCCTGGATGTTAAATACTTTATTGATGTTTGCAGTCATGGTGACATGATGCTGGAGTAT